AAAAAAAAAATCCTGGAAATTCGCAAAAAAAATACCGAAAATCACCAATTCTTCTCGCGGGGATGGGTCGACGTAATTCCGACGTTGGGATGCCCTGCCGTCGAGTTCGTTATCCCGATGGAAACCAGATCGACCTCTTGGATCTCGTCCGCGCACCAGGGCCGCCTTCATTTATGCTGCATGGCATAACATGATGCCGAACTGCACTGAATCGCACTGCACTGCACTCACCGACGTCGAAATGGGCCATCGAGGTCAGGAATCCAGCCGGTCGTCGAATCTCTTCGCGATTGTGAACTGCACTTTCGCACGTAGCGCTCGCTGCCGCAAGGCGCTCCCTCACAAAGCCGCCTTGGAGCATAAGCCACCCGCTCCCTGTACGAGTTGGCCGCCCCTGTAGAGAAGCGTTTCCGCATGAACGAGTTCAGGACGAACAATGGCTTTGCGGCATGGCAGGGCGAGATTGGCGTTGGTGCAACTCGGCTCCTTCTTCTGACGTCCCCACCGCATCTAGGCGGACCAGCAGTGCTTTCGGCAGACCCATGCGTATGCATGTCGTTCGACTTTCAGCATATCCCCCACTCCACGTTGTGTGGACAGCTACTGTATCGGGCAGTTCAAGGACCGACCTACGTCCGTTCTGCAGACCAGATGTCACTTCCCGACACAACCCAGACCTCAACCCGGCGGGCGCTTCGCCATCATCACCGCGATCCGACCGACCGGAGTGGGCCTAGACTGCGGTCCGCAGACGCTGTCGGTCTGTTCCTGAAAGCCTGATGAAGGAGCACTTCGATTGCAGCAACGACTTGACCGGTCCTGCCGCAACGCATGACCGACGACAAGCGGAGCCAATGTTGCCGCAGAACCAGATGCTCGGACCGCGGGTCCGGCTTTGATGTGCACTCCGTTCCGAGTGGTAGCTTCGAAGCTCCCGGGTCTCACCCGGACGCATCCCATCGTCGCCGACCCAAATGATGCCTGCCATGCTGAATGTATCCGACCCAAGCTTCGGAATGCTCACCTTCTCTTTCCGGAGAGTTCCGGCGTTTGCAACTGTCGAACTTCTCGCCATCTCGTTCTCAGCAGCTTTCGGAGAACATGGCGGACCTGCAAATCGAGCTGTCGACGCCAGCATTGTAAGTTCAGAACGTCATTTGAATGGTGCCACTGCGAATTCCAGGCATCCTTTTCCGATCGTGACTCGAACCCATCGAATGGCGTGCGCCTCTTCAGGCAGCGAGTGCTGGCGCAGTTGAAGGTTGTTCGCTCTGACGCGGAATCGGGTTGATCGCAGGACTGGTGGCCCGTCCCAATACCGGAGTCACGGCACCGCCATCTTCGTGCTGAGACCTCTCGAATGCGTGATCAACCGACGCTACGGCGCCCTCCGTCGAAGGGATCGCAGGCGTTTGAGGTTGTCCTGGCGTCGAAATGGCGGGTGAGCCAGCAGGCGACCGGAGCGATGTCAGGTATTCGTCTTCGGTCATGGCGGGACCATAGCGCGAGCCGAGTGGATCCCGGAAGTTGGTGAGCTGGCTTGGACGCTTGAGGAACGCGTGCTGAGCGCTGTGAGCATGGCCATCCGGCCCGGCTTGCATAGCGTGAGCGAAGCCCTTCCCAGCGCTCTGACCTGGGCCCATTGCCAGCCCAGAGAGGCTGCGGTCAATATCCGTTTCGCCGTTGGATGTTACACCGTGCTTGCGAGCCTTCTGCGCCATCCAACCGCGACGGTTGTTCCTCTGACTCGGCGAGGCAGATCGCGCCCCAGGCGCATCGCCTGCGACACCGCTGCGTCCCGCGGAGGGGCTTTTCGAGCCTAGTCGGAGCGCGCGGAGCAGATTATCCATGGCTTCCTGCGCTTGGTCCTCGCTTAGGATGCCGGCAAGGACGCTGGTCATCTGGAGCAATCGCAAAGAGACCTGCTTGATGCCGTCGTCGCCACCACCAGCCGCATGCGCATCCTCGCCAGCGGCAAAGGCTGGATCAAGGTCGGTGAGGTGCGCAAAGAGCTGGAAGAGCCGCTCGTAGATCGGCATCAAGACCTGATCTCGGAAGACGACCATCAATACCTTGCGAACGTCGATGAGCTGCAGATCCATGCCCGTGCTTGGTGCTCCCGACAGCAGGAGAGCCGCACCCGACTGAGTGAGATTGCTGCCTGCACTGAAGAGACCGGCACTGGAGCTGCTGGTGGCGATGCCAGCGGTCCCGTTTGCTGCACCGTACGATCCTGACGTCGCCACCAGGTTGCGCAGCGCGGGATCGGTACGCAGAGGCAGAAAGCAGCCTTCGCAGTATGGAAGAACCTGACCGAGGAAGAACGTCCACACTTCGACCAGACGGAGCAGGAGACGCTGATCATCGAGACCTTGAAGCTTGGAGTTGAGCGTCAGCGTTCCCGTCGAGGTCAGTGAAAGCAGATCAAGCGTGAGCGACTCGATGGCATGCGTCTGGCTGCGCTCGAGCGTCTTGCGGATGTGTAAGGTGACCATCTCGTTGAGCTCCTCGATGCTGGTTCGCAATGGCTCGCCGTTGAAGAGGGGCAGGACGCGGATGCAGATCATCTGCCAAGTGTCGGAAGAGATGCTTGGGCCGACATTGAAGCTCAGCGCACCGGGATTGGGGGAGGCAGCGCCTGGGACCGAAGCAGAGCCTGTCTGAGGATAGCTGCCAAAGAGGGTCGATGCTTGCTGACCGGACGTGCCAGATTGAGATGCACCGGCACTCGAATTCAGTGCGCTTCCGACTGCTGGCGAAGTGTTGAAGGCGCTTCTCTCGGTGCCACCAATGCTCGCGTTGGCGGCAGCTGCGCCGAGCCCCACGGACGAGGCTGTTCGATCCGCAGCGAGCGTAGACGTTGAGCCAGATGAAGGATAGTACGATGAGCCCATTACACCCGAGGCCCCCGCTTCAGAGCCCGAAAGCATGGCTGTTGCGCCAGCACGTTCGAGCTCCCTGGTCATCATGCGGGCGTCGTATGCGAGCAGATTGCGCGCCGATGCCGGCGTGGTCGTCGAGTTTTTGCTCGTGCCGTTCGTGGTTTGAGAAGCGCCTGCAGCGGGTGTGGATGGCGTCATAGCAGCAGTGGAATGGGAGTGAGAGCTCGTGGCATTGGATGCAATGGAGGCGAGCGTTGCAGAGGAAGGCAGGCCGACTGCTGCCGAGGAAGTGGCGCCTGCGGACGTCGGCTGTGCTAGCGCCGATCCCTGTGCCGGGTTGCTGGCTGGTGCAGGTTTGGAGGCGCCACCGCCAGCAAGGTGTGCCACGGCCTTGGCGGCCGAGCTCATCGAGGATGGCTGCGCGGTAGATCCGTGCAGATGGTCCGTCTGGTTCTGGCAGAGGATCTTGACGTAGATCGGGCGTGCTGCGGCCTCGGGGCCTCCGAGACCGGATCGGTTGACGTGCAGGGAGGGGGACGAGAGGTCGTGATGCAGGACGGGCCGACCAAGGACATCAGTGGACGCCTCGGAGAGATCATTTGCAGTTCCGCCAAAGTCGGCGTAGTGGGCGAACGACGTCTTGAGGGGAGTAGGTTGCGCTTCGACGGGGGACGTGTCGTCTCCTTGAAAGGGCACGGCAAGCTCCAAGCGCGACCAGCCGGTGTTCTCGAGCCGCACGCGTTGATAAGAAAGTTTTGGATCTGGCCACGGGCTGTTGGGCGAGCCATCGTGGAGGGACATGAAGACACGCAAGAGCTCGGCGATGGCAATGCCGTGGGCCACGATGCAGATGTGGCCGAGATCACCCGCAGCGTGCTGCTGAGTTGGCGGTTTCTTGCGAAGCGCTTCGACGCGCGGAAGGATGAATTGGCGCACGGCCTTGGCAATCCTGGCATTGACCTCTTCTAGACACTCGCCTTGAGGAAAGCGGAACTTGCGGCCGTCGTCGCCGGTGGAGCCCTGGATCCACTCTGTGTGGGTGTTGGTCTGGCCTTCTGCTTGTCCAAAGTTGATCTCGCGCAGCGTCTTGGACTGCACGAGTGGAGGCGGAGGGACGGACCGATTCGACTTGAGGATCTCTTCGGCGGTCATGGCAGCACGCTTGAGGTCGCTGCAGTAGATGGCGGTGAGGGGCACGTTGGCGAACGACTGTCCCAGGGCTCTTGCCTGGTTGATGCCATTCTGGGTGAGCGGAGTGTCGCGAAAGCCGGCCCAGATGCCCATTGAGTTGTCCTGCGATTCGCCATGGCGGACCAAGGTGACAAGGAGGCGATTGAGCGACATGGTGGAATCCTGGACGTGCTCGACGCCTGATCGCTGGCTCCCTCTTTCTGTCCTGTCACTTGGCCTCGAAACGAGACAAAGGCTTGTCGCCTTGCGAGCTGATCCTTGCGCTCAAAGCGAGACTATCCGTATCAGGCCCATAAAGATGGCGTAGTCGGGCGGCGCTGCGGGCTTGCGAGGTTCGAAGGTGGATGTGACAAGAGGGGACGAAGAAATGTGATGTTTCAGCAAGCTTTCAGATGAACAGGGGCTGCGGGCGGAGCCAGGGTCCGTGCAGTGCTTGTCAGCCGCAGAGTGACGCTCCGCTCGCGTAAACGTAGACCCTGAAAGCCAAGACACCACCGCTCGCCGCAATCACGGAATCGCGCCCGCCCCCACCGAGTCAATGTTCTTGAGCCGATTTCGCACGCCCTGCGAGTTGCTCTCAGGATGTCTTGCGGACAAGAGCTCGCGATGCTGTTCGTAGGGAGTGCTGTGTCGCCTAACAACACGGCTCTGGTCAGTCATGCCATGCCCGGCCCTGGAGAACAGGCTCGCTGGCTTGCTCTGCGGAAGCAGGCTGTGCAAGTTATCCCCGATCGCTGGTAGCCAGGGTACAGAATCGGGATGTACCGATCGATCCGACTTTCCAGCCCTTTCACCGCATCAGCCTCTCGCAGATCGGTTGGGCCTTTCTCTCCGGCGCATTTCGCATCTGAGGCCAGTGCCTTGCGGCATGTTCGAGTCCGGGGCAGCATGCCAAGGGCGGTCGAGAGCCAGTATCGCTCAGGCGGCGGTTTCTAAGTTTAGCAGCCGCTGCCAAGTCGCTGTGCCCAAAGTGGAGGCTTTCCTGCCTTGCCGTGGGGCGCTCAGGCTCGGCAATCCAGCGAAGCCCGGGAGCCGAGAATTGGGCTCGGCGGCTGCTGCCAAATCAGAGCTCGGTATGCAGGGCAGAAGCCTGGACGAAAAGCAACACGCCGCCGCGCCATCCGTGGTCTGATCGCCGGACCCACAGAAAGCGCCGGAAGAAAGGCTCGTGCTGGCGACCGAGCAACTTGAGGCGTACACCGCTCCCCGCATCTTCTCCTCCACCGACCATCATCACCACCTCTTCATCCCTTCCCACACTTACACAACACAAAAATGGCAGCTGCCAAAGAGTTCAAGGTGGTTCTTGCCGGCCAGTTCGGTTCGGGCAAGACCACGTTTGCCACGCGCATCAAGTCGGCCAAGTCGGATAAGAAGGAGATCAAGGCTCTCAAGACCACCCAGTATCCCGTGACGCTCCAGACCTCGGCGGGCCAGGTGACGCTCAATCTGTTCGACACCAACCTGCACGCCAAGGGCGGTCTGCCCGACGACGGCTTCTTCCGCACCGCCGACGCCTCGATCGTTTTCTTTGACCTCACCAACGAGGGCAGCTACACCGCCATGGAGGACTGGTACGACGCCGTCATCAAGGCCAACGGCCGCAAGGGCAGCGAGCCTCTCCCCGTCGTCGTCGTCGGCACCAAGGCGGACGACATCAAGGTGCGTAGTCTCTTGTTTCGTATCCTTCTTGCTGTCAGCCAGCGGCGTCTTTGCTGACCTTTTCCTTTGCCCACCTTTTCTCTACTCTCTGAACAGGGCCGAGACATCAAGCCCGCGGCCATCGAGTTCCCCCGCAAGAAGGAGCACACCTATCGCGAGATTTCTGCTCAGGCCAAGTGAGTGTTGCTGCCAGCCCTGGCGTTGACTTGCGAGATGCTGACCCTTTGCTTCCACTGTCGATGCTTCTAGCTACGGCGTCAAGGAGCTGCTTCTCGACGTTTGCAAGGCGCTGCTGGGCGACTCTGTCCAGCTCACCGCCGAGGTCGAGATGGAGAAGCCCAGCATCAGCAAGGTGCGTTTCTTCCCTGGCCGTGCCGCTAGTGGCTCAGCTTTTAAGCTTCTTCTCGTCTGTCTTTCGCTGACCCTTCTCTCCTTTGCCCCGATTGCTCGCTGCTGCAGATCGACGAGGAGCAGCTCGAGAAGCTCTTCGCCGAGTACGAGAAGGCTGCTTCGGCCTGATTCCGATGTCCCGACGGAACCGCGTGAGAGCCAGTGTAGACGCTCGACGCCAAAGACATAGAAACCGCAGTCCTTTATCACCAGAGATGGACCATCGTGTGAGTTCGTGTGCCGTCTTTCCGAAGCATCATCCGCGTCGATCTTCTCACCAGCGCGCCACAGATCCGCATCTGAACAACGCCGAAGATCACACAGATGCTGGCGTCGGCACGGAGCCGATCCGAACACCGAAAAGAAGCGGATGAGCAGTCGAGTGGAGTCGGCGTCGCCCGCTCCAATTACGCGTCGATGCTGAATCACATTTGCATGCGCGAAGCTGATACAGTAGCTCGCCGCACACAGTCAGCAACGTTCGTCAGGTTCGCGCGCGGTTGCTGAGCAATCACATCCAACCCTGTTCGCTACACTTGCCATGCGCCATCCGCCATCCTGAGCCTGTCGCTGGAAATCCGCTTCCAAGCCACCGAGCTTGAGCACGATAGCCTCTCCGGCCCAAGCAGACCAGGGCGCGTGAAAGGTCGCAGGCAGTCGGTGGTTGTGTCGGAAGCACACCGACGTCGCCTCAATCACGAGGCGCCGAAGGAGCGATGAAGTGTTGTTCCGACAACCTGAGGGTGCTTGGCAGAGGCTGACAACGGCCTCGAGAGCTGAGCTTCTCCTGGAGGCCGTGCTGAGCCCATGTCTCTTTATCTTACGTCTTGGATGGAGCGCTGCTGCGATCTTCCTCCATCACCACCATCGTCCTATCGTTCTCCGACAATCCCCTCGTCCGTCCGTCAGTTTGAACAGCCTGAACAACGGCATAGCTGGCTGCGGATTACCCTCGCTCGATATCATCACGCCATAAGACTACCTTGCGACACCTCCAAAGTCTTGTGCGCAGGATGCAGCTCACATCCTACGGCGATTTTCCTCGCACGATCGACCTCGATCCCTTTTTCGACAACACCAAGCTCGTCTACGGAGATGCGGGCACGAAAGTGCCGTACACTCCGCAGAACACATGGACGGACCCCAACGGCAGCGCCAAAGACTACCTCGAGAAGACCAAAGGTCTCACCACGCTGCAGAAGGTAGGTGCTGCCACTATTGTTGACTTGTCGAATTAAACCCAACGCTGACAGTGTGCGTCTCTGCTCGCGCGCTCGATGGATGGCCAGCACGTGGCTTACTTTGATGGCGACTGCGACGGCGTGATCTGGCCGAGCGATACCTTTTTTGGCTTCCATGCGATGGGATTCGGCTTTTTCCTCTCTGCCTTTGCCATGCTGGTCATCCACGGCGCCATGTCGTACCCGACGCTGCCTCGGAACAGCAAGTCGCTGAGGAATTGGCTGCCGGACCCGTACATGCGCATCTATGTGGCCAACATGCACCGCAGCAAGCATGGCTCGGACACGGAGTCCTTTGACCGACGCGGCCAGTTTCGGCAGAGTCAGTTGGAGGCCGAGCTGAGCGAATGCTCGAGCCGCTACGGCAAGGATGCGCTGTCGTACGGCGATGTCTTGGCCATGTTCCGAGAGCGTCGAGACGTGTTTGACCTCTTCGGAATGACGGCGTTCTTGCTCGAGTGGAGCGCCACCTACTTGCTCATCTGGCCCGCGGACGGTAAGTGGGACTGCCCTAATCAAGCGACAAAGGACGAATGCTGACCGCTTCATATCACTCTCGCATTTGTTTGGATCGCACGGGCAGGCTACATGCGGAAGGACGACATCTTGGGCGTCTACGACGGATCGCTGTTTGTCGTGCTCGCCCATCGTTACAAGAATGGGCTGGGTGGAGGTGCCTTTGATTCCAAGAAAGGCGGCGTCTTTGACACCAAGAACGGCTGAAGCGGTGCATGACCCGCTCGAACTGAATTCCGAACCGTCTGATGATTTCCACTGCCACGATAGTGTCCAATCTACCATGATGCAATCCTACCAGGCCGAACGTCATTCATACCTCGATGCCCGCCAGCTGGATTGCGGTAAGTTACTGGTAAACTCAACTGCATCGGCTATATGCGAAGTAAGACAACAAAAAAGCGCCGGCGCGGTGACAGAGGCATGAGCGGCAAGGGGTTTTGCGGCTCAGCTGTCTGTTTGTGCGCTACATGCACCGTGTCGCTGCGAGGGCACCGGCAACGCTGTCGCGTCAAGATGGCATGAATAGGATGGCGATGAGCTGCACGTGAGGCTTGCAAACGGGGCTGGCTGGAGAGGATGCGGCGAGTTGTGGCGGCAAACTGCGCGTATTGTGACTGTATGCAGGGGCGGAAGGGTTGCTGTGCATTTCGAAAGGTCACATTGCGCAACCGGACGTGGGCGGCAGAGCAGAGTGGAGGCGTGGCAGCCCGTCGGGGCTCGGCGGTTGCACTCGACGCGACCAGCTCCCACGCCTCGCTCCCTTTGTGTGATGCCTTGACTGCACATCCTTCCGGCTTGGAGCTGCTGTGACGGCTGACTGCAATCACAAATCGGCTGCATGTCGAATCGGACGCAGGAAGAGGCGCGTGCCTCTGCACCAAAGGACGGGTGCGTGCGTGAATGCGTGCGTGCCGGCACAATGGACCGAAGTTGCGTCTAGGCATCCACCGTGACTACAGCAAAATCACACGCCAATGTTCATACGCACAGCATTAAGCTCAACACAGGCTCGCCCTGGAATCCGATGACCAACGGCCGATGCACTTGAGCCTGGCAAGCGGCACTTCGTCTCACGGCATGCGGCTTCGGCGGCACCGAGCTGGCCGACTCTTTGCGCCCGGTCTCGAGTCGATGCGCGCGGCTCAGTCGGGCTCGCCTTCCCCACACGCTCGGATCAGTGTGCAAGACGCGCATACTCTCTCGACCCTTTGCCTCGTCCGCTGCTGCCTCGATCGGCTGAGCCTTCCTGACGAGGAGGAAGCGGCATGCAAGTGGATGAGCGTCTCCTTCCATCCATGCTTCCATGCCTTCATAAGGCGAATCAAGCCCGCCTCGCCTGTTTGCGCTCAGGCCCCTCGCTCGGCCCGTTCAGCGCTATTGCGTCCAATCCACGCAGGCCGTGGCTATTGTTGGCACGCTCCCTCTAACGCCATCCGATCTCGCTAATACCCTCCCGCAAACGCGTGGACGTGACGGAGCCTCATAGGCCGGCCGTCGTATCCTGCATCCAGATCAGCCGGTCCAGCCAGGTGCTCGAACCCTTCGGCTAGGCTCAAATCGTCATTCCCTCGAGCCTTTCCCCCTAGCCACCTTGGCCAGCATTTTCTCGGAAGCCTCCAGGCGCAGCATTCGCGTGGCTCGAGACCTCGCTCTTTCCAGCTCGCTCCCCTCATTTCTCGCCAGTAGCCAGCCGCAAACAAATCAGGCGCATACGAGGTCAGGGCTCTGCATCCTCGCACAGCTAACCGACTGCCACTCACACACCTCGCTCTCGGTGTCAAATCATCTTCGGACAAAGGAGGCGCTCGACAATCAAAGCTACAGGCTCGACCCCTTTTGGCCATATTACCGTCTCGTCATCCATGGTCGCTGATGCACCTTGACTAGGCAGCATGGCCAGTTCCTGACTATAGCTTGGCGACCGCCGTCCATTATATCGCTTTCAGCCCATCACCGTGTTTGTCCATGCAGCTTCCATCCGCCTTCATCCCCACAGCCATCCCTCGAGCTTGCGTGGGTGCACATTGCGACGCTCGAAACGCCGCACGCTCCCGGCCCCACCGGCTTCATCTCGTTGTCTGGACACTCGAGCCGCTTGTCCGTAGCGCCAGCACACCCCACCTTGTACAAAAGCCACGCAATTTCACGACCATCCCACCAACCTCAACCCAGCACTCGTATATATCCCTGCTCCTCACGCACCCACACGCCAGCCAGCGCGTCTTCACCCATCTACGCACGCTACCACACCTTTTCACCCGACCCAATCGATCACTCTTTCCGCACATCGAAAGCTGCCAGAGTGTCTACCGCGCTCGCACTCTCCGACAGCCAGTAGCCACACCACACGAATCTCATCCGGCTAGACGCAATGCCTTCAGCTCCAGGCGAAGCTACAGGCACGTCCGGCTCATCATCATGCGGTCCGCAAGGCCCACCAGCAGCGATCGAATTCAGCTTCGGCGCAAAGCGTCTCGTCCGCTACTACCGCATGGCTCGTAGCGGAGATAGCGACGCCGCCGTCTTGGGAAAAGGCGGTTTCGGCTGCGTCTATCGCTATGCTCTCGACACGTCCTTCACCCCGCCCTCCTCGGTGGACCTCTCGCTCTCGCTCTCACCCAGGTACGTCGGTCAACATGCGTCCGGTCGAGAGCTCGTGCCCGTCAACGGCGCATCAACGAGCAACAACAATCATTCTCTTGCAGAGGCCTCGACGACCCTCAAGCCGCCTTCTCTGGTCGCAGTCAAGCTCTGCCGCACCCCCTGCTCTGGCTCTTTCGACGAGCTTCAAAAGACGAGCCTAGTCGACAAGAGAACACGCAGAGCCGAGCTGCAGGACGATCGGCGCACGCATGTGAGGATCGTCCGCGGCGAGGGTCGCATCTTTGAATATCTTCAGGCTGCTCATCAAGTATCCGATCAGACAGGCGATGTGCCCCTTGTCAAGCTGCTCGCCAATCTTTCTCCCACAGGCATCGACGCCAGACAAGAGCAGCACGGCAGCCTCAGCATGTCCGAAGACGAGGAGGACGGCCCGCCGACAAGACTCCTCGTCTTTGAAAAGCTGATTGAGCTCGATGCAGAGCCGACGCCTCGGGGATGGGCCAAGTCGAGAAAACCTTGGAGCCACGAAAGGGTCGAAAAGGTGGCGTTCGAGGTGATGCAAGGACTCAGGGTGCGTATCTAGAGCAAAGCGTTGCCATGCTCAACTTTGATCGAAGGAAATCCGCTGACGTCGTGCTTCTCTCGTGAATCTTGCCTTGGCACCACAGTTCTTGCACGAACACAACGTGACGCATGGCGATCTGAAGCCTTCAAATCTGATGCTCGATCCTCGAACGGGAGTCGTCAAGATCATCGACCTCGGAGCCAGCCGTCGATTTGTGCACCTCTCCAACCGCGAGCGCAACAATCGCCGCGCAGTAGAGCAACAAGACCGCCAGGCCCTGCTCAACGGTCGAGCCGTCCCTCGGCTCGCTCCCGAGCTTTGTGAGGGACTCGGCTCGCTCACTGGCTCACCGTACTACATGGCTCCCGAAATCCTCATCCAGGCCACACGCTACACCGACATCTCGGGCAAGTCACGCTCGGTCTTGGAAGACTACGAGTACGATTATCCGTCGTTCCTGCCTCGCGAACAGTGGTCCGTCTTCCAGATCGGTCTCAGCGATCTCAAGCGAGGATGGGGTATTCGTGCCGACATCTGGAGCTGGGCATGCACTGTACAGGCTCTGCTGCTCAAGACGGTGGAAGAAGAGCAGCGACCCAGCAGCAGCACCATTTCGCCCTACGACTTTTCCTTTTCCCGCCATCGCCACGAGATGACCGAGCCGCTGTATCAAAAGGCGGCAGGCGAGGACGATGTTCCCCGCTTCCACCAGTGGTGCCGTGTGCTGCCGCTGCTGATCGTGGGCATTGCGCTAGAGCCAGTCTTGCTGGTAGCCCAGGCGGACGGCTGCTCGCCTGCGCTACGCTCAGCCCTCAAGGCGTCGCTGCGACATCAGGATCTTCGTCCCACTGCCGATGATCTTTACAGTGCACTCCAATCGGCACGATCCTCGCCTCAGCGCACTGCTGACGCACGTTTGCACCCCGCAGACGGGGCGGACGGGAGTCCTCGACGCCAAGACAAACTTGGACAGCTTGGTCAGCCGGGCGCATCCGAGGCGGATTATGGCTCACCACAAATTCGCATTTCGGAGCTCGAGGGCTCCAGGCAGACGACTCCATCGCTATCGCGAGGAACCTCGAGGACGAGCACGCCGCAGCATACGTGCGAGACGATCGGCAGGAGCGCGTCTACTCGGACGCCCGATCGCCTCAACAGAAGCAAGGTGCGGCTCGCTGCGTGCTCGACGGAGATGAGCCCAGATCGTGCGGCGTCCAAGTCGTGCGGAGTTGACGACGAACGTGCGACGAGCGCAATGATGCCACAGGGCTTCGAGCTGGTGAGCCCGCCGCGCAACCCCAAGCCGCGTTCGACTACTCTTGGCGATGCACGCCGACCGGCGACTGCCAACGCGCGCCTGCCAAGCCCCGGCACGTGGACGCGTAGCGTCGATGCGCTGCGCGCGGAAGCGAATGCGCGCCAGATGCCACGGTCGGCAAGTTCGGTTCGCAGCAAGACGAGCTCTCGACCAAGGACCAGCCCGATGCTGGCCGAGTTTGGTCGCAGTGGCGGATGTCTCAGCGCACGGCTGGCAGGTCAGATGGAGACTGCGACGGCGACCGCGACGGCTGCTGGTGTAGAGTGGGTCTCGGATTCTGCGGACAGAGGCGGGCAGAACAGCCGAACAGGGGATGGTGAGCTGCGACCTCCTCTGTCTGCGGGTGCCTCGCCGCTGTCTCCCGGCGGCTCTGGCCTCGATGCGGCTATGCGGGGTCTGCGAAATCTGAGGCTCAGCCGACCGAGCCTGGGCTCGCAGAGGACGGGTGGGGAGACGAGTGCGCCGCACAGTCCGTCGTGGCACCTTCGAGGCTCATCGATGCCGGTGCTCGGACGAGGTGGAGAGAGCCGAGCGCAGCCTCCGACGTGGACCACGCAGCTAGACGGCAGCGGTATCGGAGACTCGCCGCAATGCTCGGTGGGAGAGGGCAAGACGAAGCGGCAGAGCAACCTGATGGCGACGCTCAAGGAGAAGCAGGTGCGACTCAAGTTTGGCACGCTCAAGCTCAAGGGGAGGCGCCAAGAGAGCGGCGAGGATGCAATGGGTGATTGCAAGATGCAGCGCGGTGGAACGGTCGTGGTGACGGGCGACGTCGAGGTGCGAGTGGCTCAGCTGCCGATAACTCGGGGGGGCGAAGGCACTCGGAAGGAAGAGATGCCTTCGCCGATGGCAGGACGCAGTGGGACACGGAGCCGAAACACGGGCAGCCGCTCAGGCACAGGCACGGGTGGTTCGGCGGATGGCAAGCCGTCGTCGAGGCAGCTGCTGCGACGGCTGTTGACGTGGAGCGCCTCTTCGTCGTAAGCATTCTCTTGATTCATACTGGTTCTGTCAACGCTCTTTACCTGCGAACGAAGCGTGTGAAAGTGCGAAGGTGCGAAAGGTGTGATGAGGAGGCGAGCGTCGTGGAGAGTGTCGCTGATGCGCTAGTGCAAGTGTTTGAGGCGCGAAAGGGCGAAGGAGAAGAAACTCACTCGCCAGTCTGAAGCCGAGATTGTCAGATAGATTCGTGGTTTAATGTCGTGTATCTGCACCCGCTTGATGGGCATTGATTGGCGACCTCACGGCAGATGACAGACTTGATCGAACACGATATGATCCACGCAGCCTTGACGCCAGTTGCACTACACTTTCACCGCACTTGTTCGCTTGTCACGCACCTCTCCCTGCCAGGCATCGACCAAAGCCACTCCACTGTGCTCACTCAGACGTTGCTCATGGACTTCCACCCGAAGAAGATCGTCATCACATGCATCTTGCTTGCGTCCAAGGCGGAGAACTATGCGCTG